CTTTTTGAGGCAAACGTGACAGTAAAAATTCGTGATGAGTGTATCGACCGAAGAACATATCCAAAACATAGGTAACCATATGACGGGCTGGCGTAACATTGTGTGAGCCCTTGTATCGAAGCTTGTTTTATCCCCCAGTTAGTAAAGAAAAGGAAGTGGACGGGATAGCAGATAATAGTTTACTGTCACTGTTCTGCTTGTACATCGGCTCATCACTTGGCCCGTTCCTAGCAAATGTCTTTAAGGGCAAGAAGGAGAGAACGAGTCTAAGAGAAAACATCAATGACCTTGTGTTTTTACGGTCGATATGTGGGTTCTATCTTCTGTCTGACAGACTACAACACTGACAATGAAGCCGTGATCAGGAAGTTTATAAGCGTATATCCATCGCTCAGGTTTTCTGCAGAGACTGAAGCTGATAATGAAATTGCATTCCTTGATGTCCTTCTGCGGAGGCAAAATGATGGATCAATCCTGCGTAGGGTATTCCGAAAGAAAACCTGGACTGGACAATACACCAACTTTAACAGTTTTGCTCCGCCAAATATAAAACAAAATATATTCTAGGGATTAGCAGCCAGAGTACGATGGATCTGTTCTCTTGAAACTGTCAAAACAGAACACAAAAAGGCCGCTGAACACGCTTCTTGAAAACTGATACCCAGAAAGGTTAGGCCTCGGATATACTGGCGAACGCATGAAAAAGACTGCTACCTTAGCCACCGAAAAGAAAGGCTCATTCATAAGATTATTTTTCTTAGGAGCTGCAACAGGCGAACTGGTAAAACGACGTCTTAACACCGCGAACACATGCGCTTTCTCAGCGGTGAAATTATGCGTGTTGTTCACGAACTCTCCCCTCCCCTATGATTGGGATGTAAAGACCGACTGACGTTGAAGGCCACATCCATGTGCATATACTCCTTCACTTGTTCCTGTGGAGCAGAATGTACTGGCCGAACAACGAAGCGCCCGGAGAACGTAGACACGTTCCGGCCTGGTTAAGCAAAGGTGAAACTAAATCAATCTCGAGCTCTATCCTCGCACACCTTTTCCATACGAATCATCGAGTCGAAAGCAACAAAGCCTTTCAGGTTGTCTACCGGACACTAGCCTAATTTTCCAAAGGCCTTTGCCAACGAATGCTCGAAACAGCGGTAACATTAGCTGCACGGCTAGCGAATCAAGTGCTCTGTTGTCAGAAGACGCTGACACAAGCTCTTACACTTCCGTGGCCAACACCGACGCCAGGTGGCGATAGCATTTCGCCCCCATCAACAAGTGGCAGTCTCTCAACCAGCACGCTGATCTCGCCTACTTCTCCAACTAACCTAGCCCACAGTGGCCAGTCGGCGCTCACATTAGACAGTTATTGATTTTTCTACATAACCAAACTTTAATTTTCCTGTACAGCTTTCATTTTCCCCTGCAAATGATTGACCTGATGATAAGTTGCTGAAAACACATGTTTGCCAGAAATCGATTTTCCATATTGTGTGTCCGTCAGCGGTGCGCCTTCTGTTAGTAGGATCGTATTTAAGGGCCAGCCGACTTTTTTCTCTATTGGCCCCTCTGCTAATAGCACATGGAGGCAGCCATCGTGCGGCGACCTCAGTGTGACAGCCCAGCGGCTGTGTCACGCGTACGCATAATCTGTGTCATGGTGTAGTGTCCGCCCTCGAAGGTCGCGCGTTACCTATTGCCTAATGCGATGGCGTTATCACGTGTTCGCTGCTCGTTATCCTGACTCAGAGACGGCACGGGTTTGGACTCCCGTTTACTCGGTAATGCCAAAGCAACCCGAAGAAATTTAATTTGATACGTTTTACATAGGACTTCAGGGAGAGGTGGGCCATAGAGCATCGTTGCTTGGTAGTCTTGAAGACCTCAAGAGCTCCACACGGTTATCCAGTTAAAATTGCATAGTAAACGTATAAGAGGCTTTTACGTAAGCACTACTCTGCAAACGCCTAAGCTGTAGACGGTCGCCAGCTATGTGGGTATTCAAGTTCAAGTCTGCCGCGTGACCCAGACTGATATCGCAGAACACGTGCCCTCGAAACATACGATGACCACAGAGTGAGCTACTGCACCAATGACAGGGAAGGTAGCATATCGACCTTCACAGTTGCAAGCTCGCTAGATTTCGGGGGGCTTGTTTCTGCAACTAGGATTCGTTGATTGCTTCAGTACTCTACGCTGACCAACTAAAGCTATAAATATGGCATGCTGAATCGGCTCATTATATTACCTGCGGACGTAAAGGTGAGTTATGAACTGTTTATGCAGGAGAACACTATTAAAGCAAGCAAGTCACAATCCTTGTAATCGGACCCTTAGCAAGATGACACAATTTAATTACAGTATAGTAGAATTTATATACATATACAGTAGTTAATGCTTTTTAATATATGGTCTTCAACTTGTTGGTAATGTTTGCAGATTTTATCGCCGTGAATTATTTATTTTTTCGCAAAGAAAACGAACACCATCTTGCTTAAACCTTATCAT